TCTTCTGCTGCAGAAGTAACTTAGTTGAATCTTAAATTCTGGATGAGTTAAAAAAAAAAGATCCAGCTATGAGTGATGATAGTTAAAACAAATTCCTTTAATTATAAAGCATTTAGTTATTATTAGGTTTTTAGTTTTGTACACTACTTGTGAACTTCCTAGAAGGAAATGGTTGGCTATAGGTAAAAAGAAGACATTAGGGAGAGATGAATTTGGAGGCAGTTTTTATGATATTATTTTTTCATGTAAGCTAGGAATCATATTTAGGATTTCAGCTTCATAACACAGAGTGTTGTCCCTATGTTATCTCAACAGGGGCAAATCATTTTGGGGGATGAGTGGGCACATTTGAAAGTTTGAGACAATGGGACAGTCCTTGGAGCTCTGATGTTGCACACATTTCTGTCCTCCCTGGAGAAACACAATATACTCATAAAAACCATGAGAGTAGGTCCAACTGAATGTAATGTTGGGGGGGAGGGGAGCAAGGGGGCAGGGCAGTCAGAATCCCATCTTCTAAATGCAATCCAATGCTGTTTACTCAGAAGTAAATCCACTAATTTCATTAAAATGTAATCCCAGGAAGAAGTGTATAGAACTCCCAGAATTCCCCAGCCACATGAGTTGAAGTCCACACATCTTAAAGTTGCCAAGTCTGAAAAACACTGCTCCAGATGGTTTGAGATGGCCTCTTCCAGAATTACCAGTCAACAGGGCTTTGGGCTAAAAACTCAAGGAGTTACAAATACATTTGGAGGCAGCAGGGCTGAGAATGCACATATTGCTGCGACAGTTGTATCTAAGAATAAGCATGTTAAAAATCCTCAGGAGTATTTGCACTGACATTTGTTAATCGTGCATGAGTATGGATGTGATTCTTTGAATCACATTTTTACCCAAACCTTATACAGGAAAACCTCCAAGGTACCTAACAAATTTAAAATAATGATAATGGAAAATGAAGAAAAGTAGAACAGTAAAATAAGCAGGTAAGATATTAAAAGCAATAGCAGAATCAGAATGATTAATTTTCCAGGCCTAGCTTAGTAAAAAAAAGTCTTCACCAAGTGCCTTAAGATCAGTCAGTTAGGAATTCACAGCACCGCAAGTTAGAACACCAATTCTGGGCCATTGGCTACCACAGATGTTGAGCAGAGCCACCTTAATGATGACACCACAGGTATTATATCACCTACCTGATGGGGAGCTACTGGAGAAAGCAAACTTCTCAGGTGTAATCATCATAGCAAAGGCCCTACGCAGTTTATATAACGTTGATTCTAGAAATAAAGATTGCAACAAGGGAAAATCGGTTATGCAAGTCCTGACTATTTTAAATCAAGGACTTTGCAAGTAGTTTGCACCCCTCCAAAAATCTAAAGAGAACTAAGCTCTGGAGATCTTTCATTGGTCCTTCTCATTCTTTGGGAAAAAAGAAATTGACAAGGAAATCAAAGGGACATCAGATCATCTTCACTTGAAAAAGAAATTTGCTTTATTGGGCCAGAGCAGAGTGAGATCTGGGGTCTAAAAGTTTGATAGTTAGTTACTATGTCAAATCAGCTGATGAATCTAGGCAAAATCTGGTACCCTCATAGTGGTTGACTGATACAAGATTTATTTTTATTGGATGGACCAGTGAGAAAGTAACTTGACTAGTTGCACCATTCCAGAAGAATTAACCTGGAGTTGAGAGAATGATTATCTTAATGACCGCTTTCAAGGGGAAATGATTAATCGGGCAAGAATAATGAGGCTTACAAGTTATGTAGGATGGGTACCCAGCAACAGAAATACAAATCCCGTCTCACTTTTTTTCCAAAACCTCTGTAGCTTCCGGGAGACGTGTCTCTCCTTCTCTGGCCCATGAAGTGGCATTTCCCCTGCATAGATAGGAGGAAGCTTATTGTCAATAGAATTCTAAGCCCTCCCACTTCTTTCCCACCTCCTCACAAGAACGCATCAACAATGCCCAGGTTGCTGTTTTAGAATATTGGCAACATTCTACGAAAGGCCTTGAAAACTCTTCCTTTGAAGGGTTTCCTATTGACTGGCCATGAAATGTTAAGGCCAGTACCTCTGAAAATGACATTTTATAGTTGACTGAAAAAGTTTGTAACAGGGAAGACAATGGGGGCCAAGCTGATCGAACACCCTCTTTCTAACCTAGCAGACAGTGCCACTTGTATGATGGAGGTCCAGTTCTAAATTGTGGGCCAACTGAAGAGTATCATTCATGGATGTTATGTTGAGGCTCTTGAGTGCTTCCAGTTTTCTCTGACATGCTGTTATCACCCTCTTAGTAATTAAGTTACACAAAGTACCAGATAAAAACATCACCTTCATCATATAGCATTGCTTTTGAGGACATAGGGAATGGCCTTGAAGGACAGGAGGAAGAGCTTCTATCAAAGCAATAGTTAGATAAGTGGGACTTGAGCCCAGGCCAAGAAAATAACTAGAGAAAACATCTCAGAAAACATCCCTCCCTAGTTTAACATGAAGATAAAATGAGGGAAGGGGAAGCACATACAGATTTGCAAGATTTTGTTATTATAACTGTTACAATAAAAGTAGTCTGGACCTATATGGCATTGGTTCCTTAATCTGGTCTATCTTGTCGGGCTGACATTTGCATTTTAATTCTAAATCCTTTCATCATACTGAAAATGTTGGAGGATTGTGTGGAAAAACTCAGTATGACAGCTCAATACTGTAGATATTAATTTTTTGCTTCAAATACATACAATCCTACTAATTTATCAGGACCCAAGAAGTGCACCTTCTCTGTTGTGCCATCTGCCTTCTGGAATGATATTCCCCTCCCTCCCCAGAGATCTGTATAGCTCCCACCTAATGATGTTCCAGAAGTCTTTAAAAAGGTTCTCCTAGGGCTTGAAGAAGAGCATTTGTGGAGCCCTCTTGGATGTTTACTATGAATATACAGCAGTGCTTTTCAACCATGGCAATATCCAAGTGTATGGACGTCAGATCCCAAAACTCTACAGCCAGCATGGCCATTGGTGAGAATTCTGGGAACTGAAGTCCACATACCTGGAAGTTGCCAAGGTTGGGAAAAACTGATATAGACATGGCTTATCCGGATGGATTTTTATTCCTTTCCTTTTGTTTTCAAGTACAAGCCGAAGAACTGTAAGCAGTTTATATACAGTGGTACCTCTAGTTACAAGCTTAATCCGTTCCGTGACTCTGGTTGCAACTCGAGGCAAATTTCCCCATAAGGTTCAATGTAAATACGGTTAATCCGTTCCGCCCTCCGAATT